TGAGTTATTCCGTGATAATCGTTTCCACATTTTCACTTCGTGATACATGTAAATCATTTCCGATTTATATGTTCGTTTCTGTGATTTATAATTTACTATTTTACAATATAAAAAATGAGCCATCAAACCTTTTTATTTAGCCCTAAATTTAGCAAGAAACCAATCTATGATTCACCAACAAATAAATATCAAGAATTTTCTAATGCTTATGTATATAGTATTATGGTGAAGACAGGAAATGGTACCCCTAACCGTGCTGATGTTTGTCGCAAAGCAACACAAGAATGGAATAGAATTAAAAAAAAAAGCACAACAGAAATTGATGAAATAATCAGAAAATACCTAATCACACAATTTAACTTATATAATATACAAACAATGAGACCAAGATATCCTATACCTAGAGAAGACTTGACCCCCCTTCCTACTACTATTCATTTGGTAGAACCTACACCAGAAATTCCTGTTAATGCAGCAGCTCAAAAAAAGGTAGCAAATGGAATAAAAATAGCTGAAAAAAAACTTACTGAATTTGAGCAAATTTACAATTTCACAACTGATTCTCAACTTCGTCATGATATGCATGTAAAAATAGCAGACCTTCAAGCCCAAATAAAATCTAATAAAGATAAGATTATCCAATTAAAAAGAAATGCGGAATATACTCAAAAATGCAAAGAAAAAAAACAGAAACTGCTTCTTGAAAGTCAAGAAATAATACTATATGATAAACCTGGTCGTCCACCACTCCTTTTCCAACATCCAGATTTACATGATCATATTCATGATTCAGTTGAGTTTGGATCAGCTGATGAAAAACGGCGAAAAGAAGTGGTTAAGGTGCGGATAATCAAAAATTTGCATAAGAATCTTGAAGAGAAATATAATGTCTACATGGCAAGAACAACATTGAATAACTACCTGCTGCCTCATCAATCCAACTCCATTGCTGCAAGAGCACACCATCATCCAGCATGGGTTGCAGTAGCCAGAGTTTCATGTGCTGAAACACGGGACCATCCTAATGGTCACTATTGTCTTGCATCTGTTAAATGTGCAAAGCAATTTGCAACTGTCTTTGCTGATATGTCTGTTGTCATTTCTCAAGATGACAAGGCAAAGATAGGTCTTGGAGTGCCTGCTGTAGGTCGGACATTTCACACATTGCAGTCAGTTCATGAGCCTGTTTGTGTGGCTGATCATGATTTTCCTGTAGGAAGTGGGCAAAAGTTAGTTCCATCAGTTTATCTTATGATCAAACCAAATGAATCAAATGATGAATTACGAACAGGACAACTTGCCATTTTTGTATGTCATCAATGGTCCCTTGGTACGTCTTCACACACACACATGCAAGATCTTGAAAGCTTCACTTTATATCCTCAATATGATGATGTGTTGAAGATTAATGGAGAAATTCGACCTATTTGGGTGTTATTAGTAGATGGAAGACCAGATGAGAATCCAAGACATCTAAAAAACATTAAAACATACTGTCAACTTTTTTGAAAATTTGATTTAGATTACCTGACTGTACGAACACATGCTCCAGGACAATCCAAGTATAATCCTGTTGAAAGGGGCATGGCAACACTATCTGGAAAATTGGCAGGTATCACACTACCAATTGATCACTATGGAACACACCTAAATATACAAGGCAAAGTGATCAATCCAGATTTAGCCCTTCAAAACTTTCGATATGCTGGAGAGGCACTTTGTAATATTTGGCACCATGATTTGATTTTTGGAAAAAGTGTAGATGCGCGGTATGTTGAAGAGCTTGTTAATCCATTTGAAAACCTGCAGTTTGAAGGTACAGAAAAAGAAAAAATAGAGAAAGGAATTGACTCAACAGAATGTTTTGTGCCATGGTCATGGATTGAAAATCATTGTAACTTATGTCAATATTCTATTGATATTAAACGATGCATGAATAGGAGCTGTTGTAAACCATCTCGTGCAAAAGAAGCCATAGATTTTCTTCAATTAAATAATGGTTTTTTACCTCCAATCACAAAAGCTAGAGATGGACATTTCACAAACCCCATACATTTCCTTGAGTATTATGATCTTTTGAAAATTCCTGGGTATGATTTACATTGCCCATCTCTTGATCAAACAACCTATTCACGTTTTTGTTGTTCTGAGTGTAATAAATACTTTCCAACTCTTAGTTATTTGACAAATCATAAACGAACAATGCATCCTTCCAGCCATGGGAAATCTAAAAAACAAAACTCAAGGACTCTTGATGATTTCTCTCTTCTCCCATCACAACAAAAGCAACCTCTCTTTGATGATATGTATCTAAGGGAATGTATATCAGATAAAGAATGATCAATTCAATTACAGCATTTATGTATGCGAACATATATAATAAAATTCCAAGCCACAATAATTATGTGTGACCTAAGATATCCTGTTACCTCCCCCCACCCCCTAAAATATTAGCTAATATATGTCAGCGCCCTAACAAATGATGGATATAGTTTGATGCTAAAATTTATTTACTTTGTTGTTTTTGCACCCAAAGTATAGTAGCAATGGGATGGCCCTGTAGTTTTTCATTCAGTGATACATACAGCATTAGAGGTATGGAAAAATTTAGGAGGTAGAGATAAAAGTGCACAAGTCTTAATCACACAAATAAAAAATTATGATTCTTTCACTTTCCTAAAGTATGTTTGAAGCTAAAGAAAATTGCTTATATAACTCTTATTTAATCATCTTTAATAAATTATGACATGACCAAAGAACAAATTAACTCTTATTTAATCATCTTTAATAAATTATGACATGACCAAAGAACAAATTTGAATATAATGCCATCAATATGTTTTTTTCTACACTAAATGGAAATATATCGCAAGATACACTTGAACCCATTTACGAAATTATAACTTTTATTTGCATGAACATACAATATAAACTTGCGAACACTTTTTTAGTGCAAAAGCTGCCACATTTATCAACCTAAATGGCGTTAAAATCTATTTATTACATACACAACATTTAAGAGTTTAACCCTAAGGACGTAAAGCATAAACTTAAAATTTCAAGCAATTAATGGAAACGCACCTTGCCAATTATAGGGTAACTAGTAATATGGGCAATTAAAACTCTTTTTTTAATACACTTTTGTCCACAGCATCCGACATTTATCCGTGGTCCAGTAGTGTCAAATGCCCACTACTTTAACATAATTAAAACCAACCTATTCTTCTTAGACTCATCACAACTGAACTAACAACGTAAAAAGTAGGCAGTGTCCCAACCACGCACTACCCTTGACCACGGCATCCAATATTTACCCGTGGTCCAGTAGTGTCAAACGCCACTACTTTAACATAATTAAAATCAACCTATTCTTCTTAGACTCATCATCATAACTGAACTAACAACTCAAAAAGTAAGCAGTGCCCCAACCACGCACAAACAAGCAAGTAGGCAGTGCCCCAACCACGCACAACCCTGTCCACGGCATCCAATATTTTTATCCATGGTCCATAACTGGGGGAGTGCCCCAGGCCCGCGTTCCAAACAAGCAAGCAATCAAGCAAGCAAGAGGAAGTGCCCCATCCACCGCACAACCCTGTCCGCGGCTACCGATATTTTTCCGCGTTCCAAACAAGCAAGCAAGTAGGAAGTGCCCCGACCACGCACAACCCTGTCCACGGCATCCGACATTTATGCATGGTCCAAACAAGCAAGCAAGTAGGAAGCAAGTAGGAAGTGCCCCGACCACGCACAACCTTGTCCACAGCATCCAAAATTTATCCATGGTCCAAACAAGCAAGCAAGTAGGAAGTGCCCAACCACGCTCCAAACAAGCAAGCAAGAGGAAGTGCCCCAACCACCGCACAACCCTGTCCATGGCAACCAATATTTAACCGCGGTCCAAACAAGCAAGCAAGCAAGAGGAAGTGCCCCAACCACGCACAACCCTGTACGCGGCCACCACTATTTATCCGCGCTCCAAACAAGCAAGCAAGTAGGAAGTGCCCCAACGCACGCACAACCCTGTCCACGGCACCCAATATTCTACTGTGGTCCACGAGTAATGTCCACATCCCCACACTCAAGTAATATTTACACTGAATGCAATTGCATATTTTTGTATAATTTTTATAGAGTAAATGAATGCAGAGTAAATTTTTAATTTTGATTACTATTATTGCTAAATCGTTAAAATTGAAGACTTGCATCATTCAATAACAGATAATAGCTAATGACATGAATTTTATTAGTCTCCGACTAATGTTAAACAACCACTCAAAAATTTTGGAAAAGAAAAAAAAATTTTAAATCAAATTAATTAATTTGACTTCAATATTTCTTTTCTTTTCTATAATAGTACGATCCTACTTTACAGAATAATGGCAGGTTTCCCAATTCAAAAAGTTTATCCATAGAGTAAAGTTTACCCAATTCGTATAAATTTCGACATCATTTCGTCATCATTTCGTCATCATTTTGCCATCATATTGCTACTATTCATTTTTTTTTAATGATGGCTGTTTTGTGTAACACATCCGTGTCATTTTTCTACTATATATAATAATAACTATAGTTGGCTCGGTCTAAAGACCTCCTAAGTTTTGCATAAATTTTAAAAGTATAGAAGTCACTTTCTGTCCTA